CGTGTTTCTGAGACCGCTAGGGATTCGAGACCTCGGGAAGGGATAGGGTTGAGGTCCTTCGGGGGTGCCTCACAAAAGGCAGCTTTTGGGCTCAGGCGAACAGGAGTGCGGGTGGGGTACGTCCGTAGTGCAAAGAGAACCCCCGTGTGCTCAAGACTTGCTCCAGTGAAGAAGGGGTATCACTACCTACGTGGGGATGTTTGGTATGCAAAGGGTACTCAGAATCCTAGGGTTTTAGGTTCACGATGGAAACTTTTTTCTAGAACCTTCTAGGGGAGGTCTTGAAGCCTTAAGGCAGCCTGCAGGATGAAAAGGGTAATTAGAGAGCCTGGGTTATCGCCTGCTCTGGAAAAGCAAGGGGACACGTGGAGTACTTTGAAGTCCTGGTCAACCTGCCTGTCTGGGTCTCATGGTGCTGCATCAGAAGACCTGTTTTTCTAGTAACAAAACTTTGCAAAGAAGAGTGCTACTGTCTCGACGAGCCCTTACTGAGGTTTTGACCTCGGAGGAATGACAAATTTGATTTGGTTCTGAGTATATAAATTTTACTTCACACTTATGTCAAAGCAACACACAAGCATAAGCAAACAATCCTAAGAACCACAGACAGTAGGCTCACAGCAGTGGTACCTCTCCTGCAGTGGCCCGTAGGTTCGGGCTCTGGATTCAGGCTGGTGATTCTCCTGAGGGCCAGGTGTCGTGTGGAATGGTTGTCAGGTTAGCGGAGGAGAGCTCCGGGACATAAGAGTCATGGTACACTCTAAAATTCCCAGTTCTGAGCTGGTCCTTAAATAGTTGGCTAAATCATGCTAATCACACTTTGCCACAACTCACACATTTTCACTCTTATCTACAACAGCCAGGCTGCATAGTGGGCCTAAGCTCCCTTTCCTTTAATCTTTCTTCAAGCAGGCCTTTGCCTGGTTACAAGGCTCCTTACAGCTGCCTTGGTGAATTTCTGGCTGCCTTTTCTGGAGGCTGGTCCACAGGATTCTTGAGGGCAGCTTGCTCTCTTGGAACTAAGAGAAATCCGTCTTGAGAACAATAACTCAGGACTAGATTGTCTTCACCCACATACATGTCCAAATACGACAGGACAGACTCATACCAGGGTTTCGACCTCGGGAGCTTTTAGAGGGCAAAGGCTATAACTGCTCATATCAAGGAAGAGGAGCTAACTCAAGAAAATGGAAAGACTGGTCATGGGGGCACTGCCCTGGGGCCTGGGAAATGGCCCACTGCATGCTGCTGAGGACCTTGGTGGAGCTGTAGCCTGGACCAAGTGCTGAGTCATGCTGAGCTCAGCTCCATGGTTGTTATGGGGTGGGGCACTGGCCTCACCCTGGCTGGCAGCCTGTTGTCCCCTTGTACTGAGGGACTGGTGGGGCTGTGGCCCCTGTGGTTCACTGGAGTTGGGCATTTTTATCTCAGGGGATGGCTGTCCTACACATATCTTTCTCCTGACCTGATGTCTGCGGTGCTCTGTTGATTTGGGGGCCAGAGTTACTCATTAACCACAGCACTTCAGAGCCTGACCTTCGGCCTCCAACCGACCCTGACAGGCCTGGACAAGGAAGGCAGTAAAGGTGGAGAAAGACAAAACCTGGGAACCCACAGAGAACAAGGAAGGGAAGAGGTGCACAGAGACCCTGAAGGAATGGTCAGGTATAGGGAATGTGGTTCAGAAACTAAGTGGGAAGCCAAGGACCAAGTCCCCCCACCTCCTTTTTTTTGTTTTGTTTTTTGAGACAAGGTTTCTCTGTGTAGCTTTGGAGACCAGGCCTCCCGAGTGCTGGGATTAAAGGTGTGTGCCACCAGCGCCCGGCCCAAGTCCCCTTTTAAATGCCTTCCTTTCCCCTTCTCACTCTTGGTGCCTCCCTGGCAATCCAGCTCCATTGGAGCAAAATCTACAGTCTGCTCCACTTCCTGTGGCCTCCCAAGCCTGCAGACTACTGAACCTGTTCCCAGGGCGAAGAGCAGCACTCAGCTGCTGCTCTTACTCCATATGGAGTGGTGTCTTCCAAGTCCCTGATTGGCTGCCTCCAGTGGACAAGGGGCCTGGTGCCTGTGCTTGTGATGCCAGCTGGGTGGACACTGGACCATACAATATAAAGTGGACCTGTGGTTTATTGTCCCCTCCCCCAGGGCCACCATTCCCACCCCTCCCAATAATTACAAAAGTAAGAAAAATGCCTGTCCCCTGTCCCCATTCTCCCCAGAAAAATGCCATAATTTATGAAAAAAAGACAATAGTCCAAGACGGCGGGCAGGGCCTCAGCCCATGTTCTTCCAGATCGTGAGTGAGGCAGTGAGGACTCCAGCCACAAAGATAGTCACTGTCTGCCAGGTGGGGGTCCCGAAGTATGAGAGGAGGCCATCCTAGGAACAGAGACAACCATGTTACTTCAACAACAAACTGCAGGGGGAAGGGTGGGATGGGGGCAGAGTTCACATGAGGGAATGCTAAGGGGACCCCAGGCCTACAATCATAGCCCCAGCACTCGAAACCTAAGGCAGGAGGCTTACAAGTATAATGTCAACCTGGGAAATGTGTTGAGAACCTCACTCAAACAACAAAACAGTAGTGAGAGGCAGAGGCAGGTGGATCCCCAAGTCCATGATCAGCATCTTCTACAAAGGGAGTCCAGGACAGCCAGGGATACACTGAGAAACCCTGTCTCAAAAACAACACGGGGTCAGTGAAGATGGCTCATGTGGGAAAGATGCTTGTTGCCAGGCAACATAAATTCCATTCCCAGAACCAACAGGGTAGGAAAGAACTGCTGCACACCACCCTGACTCCCACACAAGCACACAAACATGCCAAACAAATGTAAAAATGAAATAAAACATACCCCCCACACACAATCCCAAAATGGAAAAACAAAGAACAAAAAAATGATTCCAATCTGGAAGTGGTGGCCCACACCTGTAATCCCAGCACTTGGTGGATAAGACTGGAGGATCACACAGTTTGGACTAGTGTGGGCTACATAGTAACTTCCAGACCAGACCAGCCTTGAGCTAATCAGCATGACCCTGTCTCAAAAGAAAGGAAGAGGGCTGGAGAGATGGCTCAGAGGTTAAGAGCACTGACTGGTCTTCCAGAGGTCCTGAGTTCAATTCCCATCAACCATATGGTGGCTCACAACCATTCGTTATGTGATCTGGTGCTCTCTTCTGGTGTGCAGATATACATGGAAGCAGAATGTTGTATACATAATAAATAAATAAAATCTTAAAAAAAAAAAAAAAGAAAGGAAGAGGACAGAGGCTGCAGCTCAGCTGGTTGAGTGCACAGGGCTGGGGCTCTACCCAACACCTCACAAACTGGCATGATGGAAGCAGGATGATCAGAATTTCAAGGGCACCTTCAGCTACAAAGTAAGTTTGAGGCCAGCCTGAGATACATGAGACAATCTCAAAAAATAAAAGAAATTCAAGCTGGGGTCAGGGGTCACCATGCACTTAGGGATCCTGGAAGGGAAGGCAGCTCTCTGATGGTAAGAATCAAGTCAGGTCACAGAAAAGTCAACAGGTACCAGATGAACCAGGCTGGGAGATTTGGTTCTGCATAAGTGGTTCTCAACCTATGGGCCGAGACCCCCAAAAGAGGTCCTATATCAGACATCCTGAATATCAGGTATTTACATTATGGGTTTGTTGTTGTTGTTTTGTTTTTTTGTTTTTGAGGCAGGGTTTCTCTGTATTGCTTTGGAGGTTGTCCTGGAACTCGCTCTGTAGACCAAGCTGGCCTTGAACAGGAGAGATCCGCCTGTCTCTGCCTCCCAAGTGCTGGGATTGAAGGCGTGCACCACCACCGCCCATCCATTATGATTTGTAACAGTAGTGATGAAATAGTTTTATGGTTGGGAATCACCTCAACACAAGGAACTGTATGAAAGAGTCACAGCATTAGGAAGTTTGAGAACCACTAGTCTAAAGTGTGACAAGGACTAAGGGGTCTCACCCAGCCACCCTGGTCTTGGATCCAGACAAGCAGCCGCTCTCGGAGGAAGTCCAGTGTCCAGCCCATGATGGTTCTGATTAGCTCGGGCACTTTGGTACACAGGGCCTGCAGGGAGTGGGAAGGTTACACGGGAGGACTGAGTCCTGTGAACACTCCTGGAGAAGGTGGTCTCAAGCCTTTGCTTTCATTCCTCTGTCTCTACTATGCAGTCTCTCCTCCTCCCTCCTCTATGACTCCTCAGTGCCCTCTAGATAAAAACTGGAAGGCAGGGAAGAGGTAAGCTCAATAGTAGAGCAGTATCCTAGCTAGCTAGTGCACCTGGTTCTAGTCCCAGCACCCAAAACAAACACTGGGAAGAAGAGAGCTAGGAGCAGTACGTTTGAGCTGACTTGCAGGGCACAGACACCTAGGTTTTGGTTTTGGGGTTTTGCCTGTTTGTTTTTTGAGATAGGATTTATATCTGTGTAAACCAGGCTGGCTTAGAACTCAGAGATCCAACTATCTCTACTAGTGCTGGAATTAAAGGTATGTGTCACCACCACTCTTGGCCCAAACACCTAGTTCTTTTGCAAGGACAAGGATGTAGAGTTCTAGGACTCTAAGGGGACCAAGTTGTACATCTGGGTCCCTGGGAACAACAATGGCAATCTGGAAAAGACTGAAAGCCCATAAGGCCCATGTGAAGACCCCAAACTTTGCAAGCCAATCTTTTTTTTGTTTGTTTTTCAAGACAGGGTTTCTCTGTGGCTTTGGAGGCTGTCCTGGAACTAGCTCTTGTAGACCAGGCTGGCCTTGAACTCACAGAGATCAGCCTGCCTCTGCCTCCCAAGTGCTGGGATTAAAGGCGTGCGCCACCAACGCCTGGCTGTAAGCCAATCTTGAACTTCTGGCCTAAAGCCACTCTCTTGCCATATCTTGCTGGGAGATATACACACACTGAGAACTCAGGCAATCCACCTCTTCATATCTATCTCTGATGGAGGTTGACTGACTGGACAAGCCGAAATCCAGCAATTCTCACCCCTCAAAGCTCGGGTCCTATTTATTATGTATACAGCGTTCTGCCTGCAACTACGTCTGCATTCCTGAAGAGGGAACCAGATGGTTGTGCACCATGTGGTTGCTGGGAACTGAACTCAGGACCTCTGGAAGAAGAGCCAGTGCTCTTAACCTGAGCCATCTCTCCAGCCCTAGAGGTTTTCTAAACCAGGTAAGACCACCTCCTGGCAGAGGCAGGACTTTCTCTCTTGATTGGACAATGCTTTCTTCCCCGCCTGTACTTGGGTTCCAAGGGGAATACTGTACAGACCACTATCCTTCTGCCTCCAATACTGAAGTCCCACCAGCTCAGGGATGAACCACATCAAGGAGATAGAGGTGGCATGGACGATGGTCACAGAGGCACTGAGCATGTGACAGTGCCACTAAAAATAACAAAATATGGAAGGAAACATACCTGCCTCAGTCTCTGCTCTGCCCTAACATATACTACCACAGCCTGGTCTTGAATGTTTTCCGTATCTAAAGCTGACCTTGAACTCCTAATCCTCCCACTTCCACCTTCCCAAGTGCTAGAACTGCAGATACACACCAACCACACCTCTGCTAGGCAAGGACTCACTGAGCCATAGTCCAGTCCTTTTCTGTATTTGTTTTGTTTTGAGACAGGGTTTCTCTGTGTAACAGCCCTAACTGTCCACGAACTCGATCTGTACCTAAACCAGGCTGGCCTTGAACTCAGAGATCTGCCTGCCTCTGCCTCCCCAGTGTTAGGATTAAAGGTGTGCACTTGCACCACCACCACCCGGACCTTTTTTGTATTTGTATATGGTAATGACAGAAAGAGCCTAAGGCTTCACATATGACATATGCTGAAGACCCACTACTCAGCTACACCCGTATCTCCTATCATGCCCATTTCTTTTTTTTTTTTTTTTTTTTTTTTGAGACAGGGTTTCTCTGTGGCTTTGGAGTCTGTCCTGGAACTAGCTCTTGTAGACCAGGCTGGTCTCGAACTCACAGAGATCCGCCTGTCTCTGCCTCCCAAGTGCTGGGATTAAAGGCATGTTTTTTTGTTTTTTTAAACAAGATTTTAGGTAACCCAAGATAGCATGAAACTCAGTATTTATCTTCAACTTTGATACTCCTACTCATTAGTCCTAGAATTACAGGCATAAACCAAATCACTTTTAAGGCCACCTACCCTAAGAAATCTTCCTGGACTTCTCTAACCCATCTCAATATCGCACCTTACCTCAACTTCACAGCTATCAACCCGTCAGAGCTCTACCAAAGCCTTGCTTGTTTTGTTCGGGCAGAGGCCAGGAACTGGGGCCAGGCCATCATATATGAGGCTCAATACATTTGTTGAACAAATACACAGTCATCTCTCTCCATTCCCTGAACCTCACTACCCCCAGGTCCTCAGACTTGAGGGTACATCTCTGAGCCCATGCCCTGTAGCTGCCCACCTTGAGCACCAGTTTGCTAGCAAAGTAGAAAAGGGCAACAACCCGGCCCCAGTTGAAGTTGCCATCAGCAAACATGTCAGCTGCCACACGGAAGAAGACCTCTCGTGGGGAGTTAGTATCCACATTAGCAATCATCCTACAGGAAAGAGAAGAACAGACACTAGGCAAGATGGTCAGATCCAGTGTAGGAGTTCCCACATCCTCCCCAGACTGAAGATGAGGAAACCAAGGCCGGAGCCACGCTGAAAAGGCGGTTAATAGGGGCTACGAGGGAGACAAGATACCTAAGAAAGCAAAGAAAACAAATGGTACCTTGAATTAGTTTCAAGGTCCTGGGGAGTCAGTGGCTGGAGCCTTAACTCAGCAGAAGCATGTTCTCCTACTATCTACAAGCAGAGGGCAGGGGAACACCTACCTTGAGTGGCTTTGAAATGTGGCTGACTGGCTAAGCATTTGCCTGTGATCATCACCAGTGAGGTGTCAGAGGCATGGCTCAGTGGTGGAGCACCTACCTAGAACCTGACTCAGAAAAGACTTGCTTAACTCCTACCAAGCACAGGGCTAGGCTACCATGTAAAGAGACCCTGGATTCTATGCCCAGCACGGAATATCTGAAGTGGTGGAACACCTGGTCCCTTGGGAGGACAAGAGTGTACGATGCCTGAGTTCTTGAGGTAACACGAAATCCCCGGATGGACCCCAGGACCCAGGAACCACACCTCTGCAGCTCCATGTTGCTGTCCAGCTCATCTCCAATTCGCCTGAGGCACTCGCTCAACTTCTTGGTGGTCGGATCCTGGGGTGGCTGCTCCAAGGTCAGCTCAGGTGTATCCCCGGCCATCCTCCCAGCTCGATACTGGATGAAACTAGATGTGAATGGAAGCGGGGGGACGGAGGCGCAGAGTGGGAACTGAGCCTTGCTCCTGAAGCCCACCCCACCACAACAGCGCCTCACACTCACCCCTGTAGCAAAAAGGCCCCTGTCTTCATGATCTGCTCAGAGCTGGTGGGCCCTGGTGGAGAGAGGAGGGAAGGAGTGCCTGGACTCCTAGGTTCCGGGAAGAGCGAGGGGGCTAGGGAGGCTCATAACCCT